TACTACATACTGTACATAATCGTATGTGCTGTACTTTTATATGACTGGCAGCTCAGTAGGTTTGTTTACAGCAGCATCACCACAAACACATGAGTAACATATGTGCTACAATGTTAGGATGGCTACAGCTTCACTAGGCGATAGGAACTTTTCAGCTCCATTAGAATCTTATAGGACCATCTCAGATATATGGTCCGTCTGTTACTGAAACCAAAGTGGGTTCCCTCCCGGCAAGTTAAAGCAGACTCACCACAAGAGGTAGATGTCTCACAAAGTAAAGTATATTTGTGGCAAGTAGGAGACCATGAGGAATCATTTCCAGAGTCATGGCGTCCCCAAACAAAGGGAAGCAGAGACCTTTTATTTTGGATGGGGAATGAATATGCAAAAGGGAGAGGTGGGTATTCGCTTGTGCAGGCTCAGTTGGAAAACGTGCTTCCACACACACTGCAGATGATGGTAATAAGGCCTTAGCTCCTCCTGGAGAGATCTTAGCATTAAAAATAAGTCAAAGGTCATAGGCATGGCTCTTGTGGTGGGGCTCAGTCTGGTTCACAGAGGTTGGTGATTGCATTTCCTAAACATAACAAAAGGAAAAAGAATAATTTGGAAAAACAGTTAAAATATCCAAACCCACCCTTGAGTTCCTTGGGGTAACTAACTGGTGATACATCATTGACCAAAACATTGTTATGTGGTGATAACGGTAGATGATTTCTCTGTTTTGTTTTGATTCTCCGGTTGTTTTAGGTGTGAGCACTGGTCTGTCACTAGCTAATCCACCTCTCTTGGAAACAGGTTCATTTTGCCTTAAAAATTTTCGTTTTAACTTCTTATATTTTAAAACCAAAAAATCTTTTTTTAAATTAAGATACAATTCACACAAAACATTGTGTAAGTTTAAGGTGTACAAGTGATGCAGGCTCAGTGAGCTGAGGAATTGAAAGAAAGATTTCTTGGACTCTCCAGGACTGGTAGTATTGCTCCTTTATTCAGAGAATAGACGGGGACAGGACCATGGCTAGTGAAGAGCTGCAATGTGTTGAGGGTAGGGCTAAATTTCTAAGGCATAGGTATGTGAGATATTTGTTTACAAGACAAAGGATGGATCATGCAAACAATTTGTTGAAGTGGTATCAGTGCAGGTGGGGTCTGTTTAGCGGATGGTCATATACTTTTGGATACGGATCGGGTCTAATCAGGTCGGAACGTCCTATGCTTCCCGGAGGATGATATAGATCAGCATGTAGGCCAGGACACCTTGGGCTTCTCTCCCTGGGGCAGCCTTGATCCACATCACCTTGCCCTATGTAACTCTTCCATCTGGCTGTTCACGTGTGCCGTTTATCACACCTTTCATAATAAACTAGTAAACATAAATGTTTCCCTGAGTTCTGTGAGCCGTTCTAGCAAATTTCAAACCCAAGGAAGGGAGTCACGGGAACCCAGGTTTATAGCTGGTTTGTCAGAAGCACAGATGATGATCTGGGACTTGTGATTGGCATCTGAAGTGTGGGGGTGGGTGGGTTGGGGGGAGTCTTGTGGAACTGAGCTTTTAAACTGTGGGATCTCCAGGTAGGTAGTTTCAGAATTGAGTTAAATTGTGCGACACCCAGCTGATGTTGCAGAGAATTGCATAGTGTGTGGGAAAACCCACACACCTGGTATCACAGGTGTTGTGAGTGTGGTAGTAGTGTGAGAGTAAAGGAGAAACACACAAGAAGAGCGAGTTTTCCTCAACATCTTGTAACTGTAATAATTTAATCAATTAAGCTTGTAAAGCATGTTTACTCTAAAACACGTTTACCATAGGAAGCTGGGTTTGTTCTAATAAAGTGTTTAGCAGAAGTTGAATTTGTTCATATTAGCTGTAAATGATCTTACCAGCCTTGTGATAATTCACTCGCCAACCTGCAAATGAATTCACAAACCTTGTGTTCAATTAACTCATCACCATTTATACTACATGGAATTTGACTGGCTCTCTACTATAGATGCAGGGAAAAAGAAAGTTTCCTCTGATTGATCCAAGCAGCATATGTGTCTTCATTCTTCCACAAGTGAGGGAAAGGATTGGAGGGGTAAAAAGGAATAAGAAGGAGAAGTAATGTTACCACTCAAAGGAGGGTTGTCTGCCTCCTGCAAGACATGCCAATATTTGAGAGGCAAGGTGGTAGGAGACCAAGGGTTTTATTAAAGCCTGCTAGCAAGGGGGACTATGGCCGACTAATGTCTGAAAGGACCATCTTACAGAAGAAAGACTACAGGGCAGTTATATAGGAGGCTGGTCTCCTGGTGGGAGAGGTATCTTCTCTCTGGGTGGGGCAGATATCTGGTCTTCAGGTGGGGCGGACATCTGGTCCTAGTTTCTGTTCCTAATAATTTTTTGTTTTACTGGATATGCATGAGAGACCGGAGCAACGCCCTATATACTGATCATAGATGATGGCTATCAGCATAGGCTCTCTGCCTGGGGGACATCACATTCCTAAGGAACTCACAAGAATAAAGTTATGGACTTACTGCAGCTGGGATAGCTAATCAGAGGTCATTCAAAGTTACAATATGGTTTCCTTTCTACAATATGGTTTCCCTTACGTCAACCTTGTGCTGAGCCAGTATTCGTGACAAGAGGAGAAAAGAGATATGAGATAACAAAGCCCTCTGCGACAGCAGGCCACCAGTCCAGGATTGTAGCTCACAGTCTCTGGCCTCAGATCAGTCAGGTATCATCGGCCTGAACTCTGAAGCGTTCAAAAACCCATAGAGAAGAAATCCATTTCTTCAGTAATTAATCAAGTTTGAGAAGGACTTTTAATTTTGAATAATTTGAAACAGTGGGTTCTTAGGAGAGAAGTAGAGATCATTCTAGTCATATGGATAGAGAATGCCAAGTCAGCTGGGAAGGAGATGGACTTACAAGATGGAAAAACATGGTTTAGCTTCAGACTGACGGAAGGCAGAATTTATAATAACTGTAATTATAGATTTTGTTCCTCAAGAAACCATCACAACTTTAATAACTCAAGTGTATTATACTCAAGACTTCTGTGTCTTACTACTGAAGTGGGAGTACAGCAAAATAAATTGGGGAGCCCTTGAGTAACAGCCTCAGAGGCGACAGAAGATGGCAGTTTACATCGCAAGTAAGAGCCCACCTAACCTAAGTCAAAGGAGTCCTTTCATGTTCCAGCCTGGTTCTCTGGAATTCTGCACTGCAGTTAGAAGCCAAGGCGCAGGTAGTAACAGAGCATTAGTTAACTTTGCCTTGTTCTCCAGGACTATATTTCCCTCAAGAGGTTTAGGGAGCAGTGTCTTCTTGAAGCTGGTTTATGGACTTTGCATCTCATAGTCTAACCATATATTTACCTAGAAGTATAGGCACCCTATTTTGACACGACATGGATGTAGAAACATACAATGAAATACTATGCAACCATTAAAATGAGGTATAAGGTATTTAATGACATATTTAGTGGGGAAATTGATACAGATACTTTACAAAAGAAAACTTGGATTATTAAACTATGAATAAAGATGATGACATTTTTTAAAACTTCATTATTCTATACACACAAAAAGAGGACAACATACAGCAGAATAACTCGCCATTAAGATTATGTTTATGGAAAAAATTAATAACATGAGGGGAATACTTGTAATGTTAAATGAAAAATGGTAGATAAAATATTGTATAGTTAGTAATTGAATAAATTGTGATTTTGACTTTGCTGAAGGTAGATGGAGAAGAATCTAGAAGGGAGTACAAAAGAACATTGGCAGTGGTTTCCTCTGAGTGTTCCAATCACGGGTGATGGAGTCAGGTGAGAGAGGGTTATTTCCCGTATACTGTTCTATACTCTTTTTACCATGCATGTGCGTTATGAGAATGTAAACACTTCTTCAATGTCTGCAACTCTTGAACAGTGATGCTTCAGGATAAATAAGCTGCTAAATAGTTAAACAATTTACCTGACTAATATAATAGAGAGAAGGGATGAATCTGCAGGGCCACCATCTGTAAAAGAGATGATCTGTGTCCTCCAGAAGGTAGGACAGTCATCAGCAGGTAATAGACATAGAAAAACAGATTTCAACTCAGGGAAACCCAAGAGTTTACACAAGAGTTTTCCAATAATTACAGCTGTCCCACAGTGGAATAGGTTCCCTCAAGATGTTGAGTGTGGGAAGCGGTCAAGCAGAGGCTAGAGGGCTCTTTGCCGTGGGAGTGGGGGAAGGTAGGAGAAGAAGGGAGAGGGGACAGTGGGACTACATGACCTGTAGCTTCCTTTTTGCTGCTAACATTTCTTCAATTCATCATTCATTCACTCATTCACATGGCCTCCAAGATGGTTCCCAATGGTCCTTGCTTACTGGTATCCATGCCTTTGTCATAATTCCCTCCCACACTGAGTAAGCTTATCCACGTAACCAATAGGATATTGTGGAAAAGATGGAGTCTGACTTCAGAGGCTAGATCATAAAAGACATCTTCTCTTTCTCCTGAATTGCTCACTGTGGAGTAAGCCAGCTGCCATGTCATGAAGACACTCAAGCAGCCTGTGGAAAGGCCCACATGGAGAGGAACTGAGGACTCCTGCCAACAACCAGCAAAAACTTGCCAGCTACTTGAGTGATTCATCTTGGAAGAAGATCCTCCAGCCCCATTCAAGCCTTTGGATGACTGCATCCCCTGCCAACATCTTGACTGCAATTTTATGAGAGACCTTAAGTCAGAATGACTCAGCTAAGCTGGGCCTGAATTCCTTACCCACAACGCCTTTAAGTTTTGTGGTAATTTTTTATGTAGCATTAGATAGCAATGCAACACATTCTTTTCTTTCTTTCTTCTTCTTCCTCTTTTTTTTTTTTTTTTTTTTTGCTGAGGAAGATTAGCCCTGAGCTAACATCTGCTGCCAATCCTCCTCACTTTTTGCTTGAGGAAGATTTGTCCCCCAAGCTAACATCTGTGCCAATCTTCCTCTACTTTATATGTGGGTCGCCACCACCGCATGGCTGATGAGTGGTGTAGGTCCACACCTGGGATCCGAACCCACCAACCCAGGCTGCCAAAGTGGAATGCGCTGAACTCAACCACTAAGCCATGGGGCCAGCCCCAATACAACACGTTTTTACCTGATTTGTTCCACAACAGATTTGAGGTACTATCCTTTGATTCAGTCCATTCTAGCTGAGCTGTTACTAATAAGTGTTTCTTAAGAAGGCAAAATTCCAAGCTGTTACAGATGCACATAGTAACCTATTCTCTCAGAAATATGGTTAACTCAACACAGTTTGATGTCTTAATATGTTCCAGTATGTTCCAATTAACAATAATATCTTGGCTTTAAAATGACCCATCTAATTTCTTTTTCAATAGAAAAAAGCAATGTGCTCTTTGTTCTTCTGTAGACTGGGTGTCTGTGGATAACTGTAGCTCTAATTGTGTTCTTTACGTTTGTCAACCTCCACCCATCAATAGGCTCAGAGGAGAAGTATGCTACAAATAGCAACAGAGCATTTTAAAAAGGCTCTTCTAAGTATTTCAGCACTTAACAAGGAGATTTTTATTTATGTAAACAAGTTAAAGGCAATGACAAAAAAATCTATGTTCTTTTTTCAAAAAAATTCTTTTAGAAAAATTATTTTACTTTTTAAGAATTATGATTTATCTATAAATTCTTCTTATAAATCGACGACTAAATCATCTCTTTGTTTTTTAAGAAACATTTTTTTTTCTGAAAGTTATGAGATATTCTGGGTAAGCTTGATGATCAGAGAATACCACAAATAGCTTTGGATGCCGTGTATCATCTGTGACAGAGTCAAACAGATCCGTAGGGTTGTCAGGGTTCTTTGGTGGAGGGCTTTTTATTGCTGCGTGTCCAACTGTGTAGACTCCTGTAAGTACTCGCACAACGTAAATATGCTTTCTCCCACTGCTGTCTGCTCTGGAGTATGCATCGTTAGCAGAATAACTGGCATCAACAGCGAAATACGTTCCTTTTCCAAAGACTGTAGCTGTAAAGAGAAAGACAAAAGCTTCCTAAGAACATAGAATCATCACGGTATGTAGAGCCACGCCCATACCAAACAGGGATTTCTAAAAAATGAAGTTCTTGCCCACCAAAGCCACTTTTCATCATTTCTGGAATTCACTCCATCTGTCCAGAAGGTGGCCAGTCCCCTTTCAGTGGAACATCCTGTGAGCTCATCCTGACGAGGACAATATGGCACCATCTACGGTTCTGCACTGCTTGGGTTTGAATAGTCAAGACTAGAACTACTGTTTGCCTCGTTCTGATCAGCCAGATTACTCGCTTCCTTACCGTTCTTCCCAGCATAACTGCGATTAAAGCCGTGCTGATTGATGTACGGCACTGTGTCTGCATCTGTGCCGTGGAAGAGTTGTCTCTCGTTATTGGTATGGCCATTCTTGGTGTCCATGTGGTTTTTCTTTACCTGGTAGCTCTCCCAGAGAAATACATTCTGTATCCTCTCAATCTGTAAATCACAAAAGGCAAAACATTTTGGAAATGACCTTAGAGCTCAGTACATAGTGTTTTTTGTGGATTTTAAAAGAAGCAATATGGAGGAGGAGGAGAAGAGAGACAAGAGTGAGGAGGGGAGGATGAGAAGGAGGGGGTGGCTGGGGATGTAGGAAGGTGGAGAGGTGAAAGAAAAGGGTAAGAAATGCAAATAAACAGCAAATTCAGAGAGTACGTACCTTTGTGCCTTTAGAAAAAGGAAAGGCTAAAAGTATCTATTAGTATCTATACTTTGTAATAGTGTTTATTACTACCTATTTTACATAAGAGAACTTATAATTTATACAAAAATGTTTACCTATACATGTTCCCTGGAATTCCTGGAGATTCACTGACATTCAAATTTCTACTCAAAAATTTGTGATCATTCAATAATGATTTCCTCAACTCGTTCGGATCTCCAAATCTATTCCACGTGTCTTCTTCCCAGTAACAGTTTTTTCTGCATTGCTCCAATTATGGTCATAAGTCACCTCATAATTGCCTAATCTAATGACTATTTCTTTCTAGACCCTCAATAGCACTTCAAACCATGAACCACCCCTTCCTTAAAACTCTGTCTTTAACTTTTTTTCAAAATATGATTCTCTATGGGTTCTTCTTCCTTCTGGAAAATGAATTTAACATACATTCAATAATCACCTATTGAACATCTACTATGAATCAAGCCCTGTGTTGGGTCTCTGCCCTCAAGAAACTTTTAGTTTAATGGAGGAGAAAGGCAAGAAAACAAATCACTACCCCTCAGAGAGATAAGAGATGGGTTAGGAGAACACACACAGACTATGAGGGCCTAAGAGAGAGATCCAGATCATCTATGTCTAGACAGGGAGGAGGAACTCTGAGGAAATGATGTTATAGAACAAAGGAAGAAGAGAGTTTCAAGAAGAATGGAGCGGATACCTGTAGCAGATGTTGAGGAGAGACCAAGTAATAAAAGCAGGAGGGGAAGTTATTTTACTGAGAGCCATGGAGGCCTCAAGGAGAGTGATGACAGTTTGGAATGGAGAATGCATGAGGAAATAGACCCGAGGAAGCAAGGAAGGATTCCTGGCACCTGGAGGGTCCAGCTGTTAGGCACCGTGAATTATAATGATTTTATCTAGGAGCAGTAGGAGAGAAGGTAGGTTATGGAATAAATCCAAAGTTAAGGTGTTTCAAAATGGGTATGACAGAAGGACAAGAGCCAAGAAAGTTGCAGATGTGGGGTAAACACAATTGAAGTGAGGTTCTTGTACTCTCAACAGCTTTTAACATCACGAAGCATCTCTCCTTTAAATTCTGTCCTTTCTGCAGGAGTCTCTCTCTTCTGATTCTCCTTCTTTCTGAGGAAGTAAGTTCATTCATTCAATTAAGTCCTTTCTGTCCTACGACATGCTAGGCACTTTGCTAAGTTCTGGGAATGCAGAGATGAGTAAGATGCGACTCCTACCTTAAGCCCACTGTCTAATGGGGGAGTCAGGCATGCGAAAGCTTACCAAAGCACTATTTCATAAGTGCCATAATGTAGTTAAGTTCACAGTTTTACGGAAGCAGCAGCTAGATTTTAAATCACTAGCTTGCCACACCCCACTCTGATATACGTGGTGTGATAATGACCTTCTAAAAACTCTCATACTTTACTGGCTAATATTTCTATGTAGCATAGTGGACATCATAGGAATCTCTGAACATCCCTTCCACTTCATCCCTACTGTGCAGCAACACCCACTTATAGTTCTAGGGTGGAGTCTAATTGGGTTAAACCAATCAGGGTACTCTCATGATGGCAGCACACAATCATGTGATCCAATAGCTCAGCTCCAAGCCAATGGCATATGGCATTCCCCTGACACAGGCTGGTTGGAGTGGTCCACTCAACACAGAGCCTGAGACTCCTGTCCAGTGGTTACGGAATAGGACACAGTTTCTCATCTGTGGGATGTGAATGGGGGAAACAGAAACCCCTGATGGCCACCAACAGCCATCCTATAATCACAAGGAGTGTCCAGTCTTCAGATGAAGCTGATACCGAGGACTGCAAAGCCAGAGGAACTGGATCCATGACATCATTGAGCCACTGGATCAAACTCCTTCAAAGACCATCCTCCTTCTGGACTTTCCATTAATTTCTGATACATTTCTTCTTGTTAAGCCAGTTTGAGTGGGTTTGTGAATTGTACGTATCCAAATATATACATGTGACTTTTGGGAATCTCCTTCATTACTGCTCATGAATGAACAATAAGATTTGAGGTCCATGGAGATTGAGTGAGTCGAATTAAAATTAATACAGTAAGGTATAAAGGAAGGAGGAGTGTTAGGAAAAACATGGCTTTCACATTGGTTCTCCAATATTTAAAAGAAGTAATTCTTTAATGTAATATTACCTTCTCTATTTCGTGGGAAAGACAAGTCTCACAGAACTTGTCCTTCACGGTGTCATATTCTGACTGTCCGGGTTGTAGCTTGACCACACAGTATGGCTGCTGATTCATGTCAGTCCATTGTTCAGGAATATTATCTAGAAAGTCAGCATTTGGTGAAAACACAGCATCCCTTTCCAGGGATGTCTGAAAATCAGGGCACTTCCTATGTTCTTGTTTCTCATTCATCTAATCCTGGTCTTTGAAAAAAAAAAAAAAAAGCTACACATTTCACAGTTGCTTCTTTTATTATCCTCAATTTGGTAACACAGATGATTCAAACGGTTCTGACACTAATATGACATGTTTACCTACGATTTAGCTAAAATTTTTAGATAAACTTAGAGTCACTATAGCTTGAAATTATAATTTTCTCAGAAAATTCTATGGAATTAATTCCATAAGAAACTGATATGAAACATGAAAGCCAATTTATTGATGTTTTCACCTCTATCAGTTTTATTTAGTGTGATTCTTTATTATTTTTCCTTTGAAACATGATGACCCTGTTAAAGATATTTAAAGCACATTGATCTGTATCCCATCTTCTACGCTAAGAAAACACTATGTAAAGAAAATAGTGGAAGTGTCAAGTGAATGCTTTCATATAAAGTGATGAAGCTCAAAGTTTTCCTTTGCTTTCCAATGGCTTCCAGAAACTTCTAACCCATTGAGGCTACACATCAACTTGCTGAGATGGCATGCCTAGCAGAAATATGGACAGAGAAGAAATGCCACAAAATGGCACAACACCACAGGTATAAACCAGAGGATTTCTCCGTACAAACAAAGCCACAATTTACTCACTTTTAGTCAAAGGTATACCAGGCCCTGGAGGCGGGTCCAGGTCACTCCCTTCTTGTCTAGCAGGTCCACCCAGGGAATGAAATTCTGGTGACCAAGGGAAGTATCTAACCCTAGTCTAGAAGCCTTTTTCAAATTCCCTTCTAAAAGAGATTTTCTGGAGAAGTTTCCCACCAATATGGTGTGTAGTTTCTGCAAATTAAGATCTTTCCTTTCCCCCACTGTGCACCCCTTTCAGATCTTTTGGCCTAATCATTTCTAGTCCTAGGCCTTAGCGTCCTCTTGACCTGCTACTTTCTTTTCTCTGATTGCAACAGGCAAGGCTGGGAAGTAAGCAAGTGAAGTGTTTCTTCGGGCCCCCTCTTCCTTCCATGCCATGAGGTTGCAGAGCAGAAACTACCAGGACTTGGAATCAGAAGACCTGGTCTGCTTCAACCTGGGACCAGCCATGTGGCATGGAACAAGCGACACCACTTTGCGTGAGTCTTCATTTTCTCATCTATACAGTGGAAATGACAAGATCTGCTCTATTTACCGACTCATGGGATCGTTACAAATTTAAAATATAATAAAGGGCATGGAAGCACTTTAGGGAATACCAAGTCCTTCATAAATATACAGTTATTATTCTTTAAAAAAAAAAGATTAAGCTTGATCTTTTCTACATTCCAGAGGTATCTGTACTTAAAAAGGGAGTAAAGTGTAAAGCCAAGGGTATTTTCTTGAGAGGAAAGACTTAAATCACATCCTTAAGCCACACTAAACTGTGTTATGTATTCTGCCTTGTGGACAAAAGGTGACTCTGGCTAGACAACCTAGAGATGAGCAAAGCGACTCCCCAGAAAGCTGAGTACTCGCACATCCTATGTTACAAGGAAGGCCTCCACCAAAGGAAGAAACAGAATCTTGTTCTCTTAACTTGCAGCCCAGCGCTTCCTGGAAAATAACACGATAGCTGTCTTTCCGTAAGTGTTTACCACGTGCCAGGCACTTGCCTGAGCCCTTTTTCTATCAATCTCCTGTAAAAGATAGATGTCACTCTACTCTTCCATTCCCGATGTTCAGGATCAATGCCGCCCACCGCCCCCCCCCCCCCCCCCCCGGACCTCCCCTTGTGCGCCAGGCCTCCGTCTCCTCTCCACACGTGGAGGTGGGATTAAACACCAAGAACCCTGGCTCTTCAGTCTTCACCCTCTTCATCCTTCATTCTCTCCATGGATGGTCCAATTCACACGCACTGGCTTCAACTCCCACCTACTTACATGACTCCCAAATCTGTGTCACTAGTGTGCGATATACAGCTGGTGCTCAATAAATGCTCTCTGAATCAGTGAACAACTTTAACATACATTGGAAAATTAATTGTGTATCATCTACTCCAATGAAGCTTAAAGCTATTGTCTTTAAGTTCTCTTCTAAAGAAGTCCGTATGATAAATTATTACTAAAATTCAGTTTGTGTCTGCCAACAAACTTCCTTTCACCTGACATTTATCTGTACTATTCTTCTTATCTATAACAAGGACCACGTAAGGCAGTTTTATTGTTGTTATTTTTCCCTCAAGTGCCATATGGCCACTTGCCTGCTTATTTTCGTCATTGTTTTGTTTGCTTCTCTCTTTAGCTGTCCCGTTTTGTTTTTAAATTTTGTAAGGTCATGTAAATTCTTGATGGAAGCAGCCAGTGGATGAGCCAGTTTGACTTTACTTTTTACTTTACTGATAATGACTTACTGCTCTTATATTTAAGTAAAAATTTTCTTCTCCAAAACCAAAGGGAAAAAATAGGTTAATTTCTTGGATCTCTAGAGACTACAGTAGGCATGAATTATTTTTAACTGCCCTGCATCCTTTCCCCCTGGCACTAGCATCCTGAATTTCTTCTGGGAACAACCCTTCCCCCTTGCTTCAGACATTGATTCCCACCAGCTCAAGTGTGGAGCATGGTGACTCCGGCTTGGTCAGTCAGTGTAATTCTGGTTCCCTGGCAGCAGTGATGATCTAGCTGGTCCAGTTAGAAGGAATCTTGGGCCTTATAGGAGCATTTCTGTTCTTAGGTATCACTCTCCCGATGATAAATATATATCTCCACTGAATATGCTCTTTCCTATGGGACCTGACCAAACCAAGATATGGGCCTGAAGCTGCCAGCAGCCATCTTTCACCATGTGAAGCCTGAGGAAAAAGATAACACAGCTGAGAAGAGAGTGAGAGATGAAGAAAGTTAGGGTCTAGATAATACCATGTGAGTACCTGGATAAAACTGTACCTTAAGTCAGTAGGCATGGACTTTATCGTCATGTGAGTCAGTGAATTCCATTTTTGTGTAAGCCAGTTCAAACTGGATTTTCTATTACTTGCTACTGCAAGAGCCTTAACAGATGCAACTATCATTTTTATTTTTATTTATTTCGTGTGTGTGTGTGGCTCTTACATGTGCTACGTTACACTGAGGAAAACAGTGGTCGGGAAATAAGTGTAGAGAGAACTGAAATTCCTGCTGGCAGCTGCAGGCAACAATTTCAGTTTGGGGAGGCTGCTGACGTCAGGTGTGCCTCATCAGTAGTAAAACTCACAGCGCCTCGTGGGTGAGTGCTCAAAATGGCAAAAACAGTGATTGCCAGGGGAGGCTGCATTTCTAGTTATTTTAACAGCAATACAGAAGTCACAAAATGGGGGAAAGCTAGGTCAGAGGGGCAGGTCGACACAGACACTTAAGCACAATGCATAAGCACACACCTTACAGAACAGCACCTGGGCATCTGCCTGCTCGCAATTTGCTACAACCAGAGGACTCTGGCCACTCCCTTCTTGCATCTGTCTCCATTCCCAGGCTAACTGGTCTACAGGTGGCTGATCAATAACCAGCACTGATCAGCTAGTTCATCGAGGCAAGGGCACTGAGAGTCAGTACCAATCAAGAATCAATAATGAGATGATTGGCTAGGATTTTCAAGCCTATTCCCCTTTTTCTGCTTCCTCATCTCTATTCTCTTCCTGTTCATTTGCTATTCCCGTTTCCCAGGCCTGATTTTGTCCCTCAGAAGAAGAATCAGTTGACAGGAGATTGTGTCCCATCGTTCTTGTACTTTTCACACGTATCATAGGAGGTTGTCTGTAAAGCCCTGAACCTGATACAAACAGCGAGCATTCACATCTGAACACTTTCTAAGTGATATCAGAGATACCACGTGAGGTTTTAAAGATGAACATCTTACATGCAGTCTTGGAGAATATGGATGTGGAGACTGCTCTTTTTTTCATGCTGTCGTGGAATACCTTTAGCAGATCAGTTAGAAAGATGACAACTTTAACTGTTTTCAATGATGGAGTGGAATGTTTCCATGCGAAGTCTGCAACTGCACTGATTATATCATCAGCAACCATGACAGGGTTTTTTCCACCATTTCCTGAAAAAAAATTTTTTGAAGTCACAGAAAGAAGTTTCAGCTGGCGTTGCTCATGTGACAAGATTTGGCAAACGCGGTTCTTGATGCTGAAAAAGTGGAAGCAGCCTCTGACAGCCAGGAACTGCCCTGGCACTCACAGCTGGGGCCTGGGGTCTCTCCAACTTGACACAAACAATTTCACAGAACATCACCAAACGTAACCACGCTGTGATTGGGATGAAGCAAGCCAAAAACAAGACCACTGCATACTCATGTCTGACCACAGACAAAAACATGAACACTTTCCAAACCACAAAAATGGCCAAACCTCCTCCATCTTGACTACTGTGAGTGACAGCTGCTTTATTGCCAACCACAGCTTTTCTCTCCTGGATGAGATACTCAGTCATAGAACTATGTCTGCTTCCTGGAAGTAGCCAATCCAGAGCAAAGCTCCACTTCCTTGAGACCGCCACAAAATCTCCTAGTATAAACTCAAATCCACTAATAAGTCCTTTCGAACAACCTCCCGCTGAGACAGTGCACGGTTCCCCACAGCGTGTGTTCCTGGTGGACTTGAGCTGCAGGGCTTTGGCCGTGCAGAGAAAAGAACGTGTGCTCTGGATGCAGAAGGTGTGGCTTTGGGTCCTGGCTCTCCACTGCCCAGCAGTGTGATCTAGGGTAAATCATTTGATCCCTCTTACGTGAGTTTGCTAGGGCTGCCATAACCAACTGCCAGGGACTGGTGCTTAAGCAACGGAAATTGATTTTCTCACAATTCTGGAGGCTAGAAGTCTGAGGTCCGGGTGTTGGAAAGATTAGTGTCTTCTGAGGCCTCCCTCCGAGGCCGTCCTCTCCCTGTCTTCACACGGTCTTCCTTCTGTACCTGTGTGTCCTGATCTCCTCTTCTAATCAGGGCCCCAGTCATATTGGATTAGGGACCAACCTAACGACCTCATTTTAACTTGATAACCTCTTTACAGACCCTGTCTCCAGTTACACTCAGATTCAGAGGCACTAGGGGTTTGGACTTCAACATGTGAATTTTAGGGGGACATAACTCAGCCCGTAACACCTCTAAACTCTGGTTTACTCAGCAATATAATTGGAGTGATAATAGAAGGTAATAGATAATAGAGATAAGAATGCGGTAGCTGGGCCAGCCCCGGTGGCCTAGTGGTTAAGTTCAGCACACTCTGCTTCGGCAGCCTGGGTCCAGTTCCCAGACGTGGACCTACACCACTTATTTGTCAGTGACCATGCTGTGGCATCAGCTCACATACAAACAAAAACAGATTGGCAATAGATGTTAGCTAAGGGCAAATCTTCCTCAGGAAAAAAAAAAAAAAATCGTTAAAATAAAACAAAACAAACAAAAACGAATGTGCTAGCTAAGAATATAGTAATCAAGAGCACGATGAGAAAAGAAAACACCTAATGTGAAAAACAAAATGCAATGTTTGAAGTGTACAGGCCAGGCTGCCTGGGTTTGAACCTAGTTATGTTGCTTACTAGCTGTATAACCTTGTCCTTTAATACCTCAGAATCTTATCAGAAAAATGGGGAAACTAATAGTCAGGGGTGGGTCCAGGGTTTGTAGGGTTTGAAACTTAAACATCTCAGAAAAAAAATACAAAATCGCAAATATAAAATTATGTATAAAAGTGAATGTTTAGAATCAGAAAAGAGATCACAATAAAGTATAAATTTTAAAATATTGAAAATTGTATTTCCAAGTCAACTTTCCTTAGCTGTATTCCAAAAGAGCCTGCAGCCACTCCAACACCCCGGGTCAGGGGGAGTCTGAGAAGTCTGAGTGGGAAGCGGGGAAGTGGGGAGAAACAGTGGTCTTAACCCACGGTGGTTAAAATACTGTACTTTTGGAGTTTTACTAAGGCGCATAACCTTGTAAAAGCATTATTAACGCTTCTCTTGGGGCTTTTACAAAGCCTGTGCCGTTGAGAGGTGAATGAATCAGGGAGCAGGTCATTAGCATCATCTTCCACTAAGGAAATTATTGTATGACGTGATGGAGACGATGAGGAAAGTGTTCCTGGAAACTGTGAGCAGGACGAGGCTGAGCTTGTTGCTTAAGGTTAGCGACTGCATCTTACACGTGATTTATCCCCAGTGGCTTGCACAGGGCCTGGGTGTCAACAGCATTTCAACTTAATGAATGTACCAATGAGGAGCCTGTGGGAGACACCGCAGTAAACCAGACGGGGGAGGTATTCGGGGTTTTGAAAGTAAAAGGAAGGCTGAAACTGAACCCCTCCCGGAAGAGGATTTAGTAGGACTGGCTGACCATGGGGGTCGGAGGGCACATAGAAGCAAGGGTGGTAGGACAGCTGGGAGCATCATGGCACCACCGAAGGAGGAAACTAGAAAACAACTCAAGAGTGTGACTCTTAGCCAGGGATGATGGTGACAATGATGAGTGTGGACTCTGTTATAAATGAGTTTCTGGTATAGAGAAATCTCCCAGAGGAGATCCTGGAGAAGGCTGAAAACGCTGATTTGGGAGTCAGAGCTGAAATGGTAACTGAGATAAGGAGAGTAAATGAATCCCCCAAAGGAACAAAAGGAAGAGTGAGAAAACCATGGAGTTAAGGCCAGGGCCGGTCCCGTGGCCAAGTGGTTAAGTTCACACGCTCCACTTAGGCAGCCCAGGGCAGCTCTGGTTCGGATCCCGGATGCGGACATGGCACAGCTTGTCAGGCCACATTGAGGCAGTGCCCCACATGCCACAACTAGAAGGACCCACAACTAAAATATACAACTATGTACTAAGGGGATCTGGGGAGAAAAAGCAGAAAAAACAAAAGAAGATTGGCAAGAGTTGTTAGCTCAGGTGCCAATCTTTAAAAAAAAAAAAGGCCAAACCTGGGAAAATACTTAGGGAACATAACACAAAGAAGAAAGATGGTATAGAAGAAAGGGGCATAGGTCCCACAGATGGCTGTCAGGGTCTGAAAGTCTGCCCACTCTCTGATTGACATCACTATTGCTGCCTAGGCTCAGCACTGAGTTCATTAAGAGCGAGACTGAGTCTAAAGGAATCTGGATCACTCAGAATCTTTGAGTGACGAGAGGCTGCAAACCTGTTCCGATGGCTGGAAGGGAAACAGATGTGTACTTCCTCTGTTCACACTCTTCCAGAACACTGGAGACCGTTTTCCTGACATCATTTTCCCCAAGAACATGCATTATTATCTTGCACATTAGGAATCCACCTTGTGTAACTATAAAATCTCTGTGAGGCTGTGTAGCTGAAAAAAAAGGAAGAAAAGGAAACACACATAGCACGTACTTACTCTAAGCAACACTGATCACTGAGGACTGAAAATAGCTGCGATCAGGAAAAGTCGAGAAGATTCCTGTCTGAGTCCAATCTCCCTCCACCCATCTGGTTTCATTCACTGGGACTGTGACAGGCTCATTTTCTCTACAATCAGGATTCTTTAACTCAACAGCTACAGTGTTGAATATTTAGGGTGCTATTCAAAAGCGCTCTATCTGCATCAACCCAATCAATCCTCCAAACAAGCCTATCAGGTAGGTTCTGTTCCCTCCATTTCACAGATTAAATGGAGGCACAGAGAGGTAATGTCAGTAGCCTAAGATTGTCCAGGATTTGAACCCCAGCAATCAGTGTCCAGGACTCTTAACTCCCACTATTCTGTCCAGAAGAGCAATTATGCGCTCATTCAGCCAGATCAAATTTTCAAGGAGGTGAAAGCAATGTATTCTGTTGTGTGGAGGTGTGAAAGGATGAAAATTTCTCCCTCCCTCAGGACCCCGAGAGCTCTTGAGCTCATGGAAATTACCAGGGCTGCTTTAAGGACCTTTTGTACCCTGAGTAAGGCAGGGCTCCAGCAAATGGACTTAGGACAGGACTGGGTCCCTGTCCACCCCACCCTGTCCTCCTGCTGAGCTCCCATTGCCCAGGCACTCCCTGCCGCCTCTCAGGTGTCCCACCTGCTCCCCCCTCCCAGGCAGCCTCCTTAGGCTTTTCCAGCTTGTCCAACCCAGCTTCCTTCTCTGCTTCTGCCTTCCAAGGTTCAGCTAGCTCTTCCAGTGCAGAGATCCTTGCTAACATCCTCATGCTGGTAATCAATATTTCCTGCCTCTGATCTCTCTCCAGGAATTCACTCCTCCAGAGAAAATGTCTTAACCAGAGGAGAGCTATTAAAGTGGGAGTTTCAGGCACGATAGCAGATCAAGTTGTGGGAACGTATTATTGTCAAATGTAGGACACCTATGATTCCTTCAAATCACACTCAGGGCGGACTAGCTACTTGGCAAGGCATGAGTCTTGGTTTTGAAGGATAAATAGTTTATGATCACTCTTACAGGATCCCCACTGTGATGTAATAAAAAATAAATGTTTGGTCTTAGTCCCTGATTCCTGGCTCAGAGTTCCTAGATCCTTTGGAATCTCCTGAGGGGTAAGAGTGTATTTCTACACTAATGAGATGACTCCTCCAGGGTGCGGGGCTAGACAGTTTCAGAACGGGGCTGGTCTTCAGAAAGACCAGGCCGTGATTAGAGGATTGCAACTCTCAGCCCCACCCCCTGACCTCCAGGGTCAATCACAATTCCGACGATTTAATCAATCTTGCCTACAGAATGAAACCTCCTTAAAAACCCTAAACAACAGGGTTCAGGAACTTCCTTGTTGGTAAACACATCTAGGTACTGGAAGGGTGGCGTGTCTGGAAAGGGCTTGGAAGCTCTGTGCCCCTTCTCCCACACCTTGCCCTACACATCTGTTCAAATAAATTTCTAGGCCCAAGATGGAGCTGCTTCTGCCTGGGGTGACACATCAGCAAACTGAACTTTCAAACTAAACTTTTGTTTTCCAGTAAATGCCCCATTAGATCAGAAACACAGTATATCCAGTCAGCCAATCCCTAAATGCCAGGCCAACTCTGGGCTCTATACTTATTTCCTTTTCCCTGAATGTTTCTAAATAAGGTCAGATATGCAACCCCAGCCAAGCATGCTCAATTTCCCCATTGCCTCCTCTAGTGCTCTGTAAAGTCGCTCTCGCCCACAATCCCTCAGGAAGAGCACTCCACTGCTTGAGAGGCACTATACTCCCCAGTCCACGGACTGTCTTCCCTTGAATAAAGGACCTCAAACTTCTCACTAAATTGTTTGCTTTGTCATTGGACACATTTCTTCCATTTGCTTGTTCCTGAGTTGTATCTTTTATAATAAACTGGCAAATGTAAGAAAAGTGTTTCACTGGGTTCTGTGAGTAAAAACTGAGAAGTGGGTTGTGGGAAACCCTGAATTTATAGCCAGTCCACCAGATGTCCCGGTGGCCTCTGGGACTTGCAACTGGTGTTTGAAGTAGGGGCAGTCTCGGGGGACTGAGTCCTTTAACTTGTGGCATCTGGTGCTAACTCCAGGTAGATAGTGGAATTAGAGAATTGGTTGGTGTCAGAAAACACCTCAGACCCACCCAGGCTCCCACATTCATTCATAAAAGGATTAGAAGTCAGCTACATGATGTGCTATAGGAAGAGGAACAAGCTTGGGGAGAATAAAAGATGATTTGTACGGCACTTTACAGTTTACAAAACTTTTTACATTCATTGTACCTTCTGATCCTCACAACCACCTGTGAGAAAGCCTTTACCAGATTCCTCGTTAGTAAAACTGTCTTGAGGGTGAGAGAGGCAAAGTTCTTAGAGGTCAGATGACGTGCCCAGGATCCCTCAGTATATGGTGGAACCTGGATCATTAGGACCCAGGCCTGGGTTCCCTTTAATACCCAGGAAGGAAGAGAAAGATGGGATGGTGGGAGAAAGGACCTCTGCCCCACAGCCTCCAAGTCACACCACCTATGTCTGCTGGCCCCGTGAACCAACCTTCTTCCAAAGCGCTCACCACTTACTCCACCCTCATCCTCCCGTGGGTCCTCTCACAGTATTCTCAGCCCTCCAATTTTCAACAGGTTGTAGCCAAAAGGAACATGTGACCATACCTAGTACAGCACATTCATTTTCCACAGCTGGGCCAGCACCTTCTAAAATTGCTTTTGACACTCCTAAATAAGACATGTTAATGGTAAAAGGCATTAGTTAAAATTCAATAAGTGGTTATAGCTTTTTTAGATTAGACTTTTGTTCAACTCACCCTTTTGTGCATAATGCACTGAGGCCCTCCCTCCCCCTGAAAACTGCCTTTCTATGGCAACCTCCACTCAATGGCTGATTAATAAACAATCTGGTCCCCAGCATGGTGGCACTGCCCAGCAGCTGAAGGTCTCCAGGGTCTGCAGCTTTACTGTCTCAATTTGTACGGGGAGATTTTTGGCGTTATTTGAAATTTTTTGCATTCTATCTTATTACTTCATAAAGTTGGATGAAAAACGTAAAAAAAGTTCTGACACTAATGAGAAGCATGGATCTCAAATCTGAAAAAAATTGAGCATTTTACTTAAGTTCATTGACTGTTGTTTAATTTTGTTTTGTTTTTCATCACTAGACATAGTTGGCTGGCTTCAGTCCAGTGAATCTTCCAATCAAGGCTTTAGTTTCAAAACTTTGCTCACATCTAACGACAGCCAGGTGAAGTGGTTGGAAACATGGACTTTGTATCTTGACAGACTGGGCTGGAGTTGACTCCACCACTTACGAGCTGCTACGTGACCAGTCAGTTCCTCATCTGTTACACAGAACCTAGCCTAGTACTTCCCTCACAGTTATCTGAGCATTACAAGAGATAAGGGGAGACTGCTGGGAAGACGGCAGCATAGGAGGACTCTGAACTCATCTCCTCCCACAGAGACAGCAAATTTACAACTACCTTTGGAAAAATTACCCCTGAGAGAGAACGGGAAACTGGATAGAAAGAACCCCCTCAATAAGGGACAGTCCTAACTGAGGTGGAAGAGGCAGACATTCCTTTATGGAGTGGAAAAAGCCACAATCTAGCGGTGGCACTTCACCACTGGGAGGAATCTTAAGGTACACAGCTTTCCCTGGAGGAGCAGGGGATCTGAGCAGGAGAGCTTTGCCATAATAAGCAGCTTTTGAACTCAGCACAACTGAAGTGAGTGTCATAACATCTGGCTTTCCTGGCTATTAAATACGATGGAGAATACCCCAAGAAAAGCTACTGAGAGAGAAAGCTATAAGAGAAAGAAAAACCTGCTCATAAAGGGCCCACTCACAAATTCACCTGTTTCAGAAAGCAACTTAAAATCACCAGAAAGAAAGGTACACAGTCCTTTGGTGAAAAGACTCACTTGAGAGGCTCTGAGTGCATCTTGGTGAGGCAGGAGGCAGCTGGACCACTTACCCATGGACTGAGACATTGGCGGCAGCCTCATTGTGACCTACAGGTGTGCTGACACAGACACTGGGAAATGCCGTTGGAGTTCTTACCCTGGCCTGTTAGTGCAGGGGTCTGCTCTACGCACTAAGGCACTGATTTAATCCAGCTCAGCCAGGGCAGGCAGCCTGCCCTAGGGACTGGCCCCACCCAACAGCAAGCCCTCAGGCAACTTGTGGGCCTGTATAGGCAGGGTGTGTGGGACCTCTGCAGCAGGATGAGTGGGTCTGCTTTGTGGGTGGGACATATGCACAGGGAGGACTGAGTTGACGGGGTACACGGGCCTGCAGATGGTGGGGTTAGTCAGCAGCAGCAGACTTGTGCTTCTTAAACAGCCACATAGGGTATCAGCCCCACCTTCCAACACCTGAAACAATTGTGTGCTGCTATGTCTAGGGCCAGCCCCACTCAGCTGCAACCCTGAGGTAGGTGACAACAGCCTTGCAGGCCAGAGGCCTCCAGCAATTGTAAGTCCCTAAGCCTAGCAACCAGCCGTGCTGGGGGCCAATTCACTTAACATAAAAAATGCAGCAGGAATGTGCTATTAGGCCTTGCAGCCAACTGTGCTGGGGCTACCCCCCGCCTGATAAAGTGACTGAAGAGACCACAGCAGCTGCATGCAGTAGAGTATTACAACCAGCTGGCCAGGGGTACAGCTTAGACTCCCCATGCACCTGCAGCAAGAGAAACCCTGCCACAAGAGAAGGACACACATAGCCCACACAGGGAACCCTTCTGAAACATTTGGAACTGGTGATGAGAGGGAAGCACACTGCTGGGCCTCATAAGGCATCTCTTACATAAAGTCACCTCTCCAAGATCAGGGACATAACTGACCCACCTAATACACAGATATAAGCACAGAGAAAGAAGCAAAACGAGGAGGCAAAAGAATATGTTCCAAATAAGGGAACAGGACAAAACCCCAGGAAAAGGACTAAGTGAAACAGAAATAAACAATCTACCTGATAAAGAGTACAAACTAATAGTCATAAGGATGCTCACTGAGCTTGGGAGAAGAACAGATGAATATGGTGAGAATTTCGACAAAAAATTGGAAAATACACAAAAGACACAATCAGAACTGAAGAATATCATAATGGAAATGAAAAATTCACCAGAAGGACCCAATAGCAGAGTAGACAATACAGAAGAATGGATCAGCAAGCTGGATGAAAGGCTAGAGGAAATCACCCAAGCTGAACACAAAAAAGAAAAAAGAATTAAAAAGAATCAGGACAAGCTAAGGGTCCTCTGGGACAACATCAAGTGCACTAACACCTATATTATAGGTGTCCCAGAAGGAGAAGAGAGACACAAAGGGACAGAGAATCTATTTGAAGGAAGAATAGCTGAAAACTTTCCTAACCTAAGGAAGGAAACAGACATCCAGGTACAGGAAGCATAGAGAGCATCAAACAAGATGAATCCAAGGAGGCCCATACCAAGACACATTATAATTAAAATGTCAAGAATTAACAACAAAGAGAGAACCCTAAAAGCTGCAAGAGAAAGGCAAGAAGCTAAATACAAAGGAAATCCCACGAGGCTATCAGCTGACTTCTCAGCAGAAACCTTACAGGCTAGAAGGGAGTGGCCTGATATGCTTAGAATGTTGAAAGGAAGAAACCTTAGCCAAGAATACCCTGCCTGGCAAGGTTATCATTTAGAATGGAAGGAGAGAAAGAGTTTTCGAGACAAGCAAAACTTGAAGGAGTTATAACCAATAAAACAGACTTACAAGAAATGTTAAAGGACCTATTTGTGTGGAAAAGAAAAGACCACAAATAGGAATAAGAAAATTATCAAGAAAAAAACCACAATAAAATCACTGGTAAAGGTAAAAATACAGTAAAGTTAGCAGATTAACCACCGATGAAGCTAATATGAAGGTCAAAAGACAAAAGTACTAAGATTATCTATTTCCATGATAAGAGCATAACAGATATACACAAAAAAGACATTAAATATGATATCAAAAACATAAAATGTGGGAGGAGGGGATTAAAAGAGTAGAGCTTTTATAAGAGGTCAAATTTAAGAGACCATCAACTTAATATAGATTGCTATAGATGTAGCTTATTATATACAAACCTCGTGATAATCACAAACCAGAAACCTATGATAAATACAGAACAAATTAAGAGAAAGGAATTCAAACATAATACTAAAGAAAGCCATCAAACCAAAGGGAAGAGAGCAAGAGAAGAAGAAATGAACAGAGAAGAACTACTAAAACATCCAGAAAAAAAGTAATAACATGGCAATAAGTATATACTTATCAATAGCTACTTTAAATTTCAATGGACTAAATGCTCCTATCAAAAGACATAGAGTGGCTAATTGGATAAAAAAACAAGACCTATATATATGCTGCATACAAGAGACACACTTCAGACCTAAAGACAATCACAAACTGAAAGCGAAGAGATGGAAAAAGATACTCCACACAAATGATGAAGAAAAGAAAGCTGGGGTCGCAATACTTATATCAGACAAAATAGACTTTAAAACAAAAACTGTGACAAGAGACAAAGAAGGGCACTACATAATGGTAAAGGCAACAATCCAACAAGAGGATATACACTTGTAAATATCTATGCATCCAACGTAAGAGCACCTAAATATATAAAGCAGTTATTAACAGACATAAAAGGAGAAATAGACAGTGACACAATAATAGTAGGGGACTTTAACACTCCACTTACATCAATGGATAGATCATCCAAATAGAAGATCAATAAGGAAACACTGGCCTTAAATGACACATTAGATCAGATGAACTTAGTAGATCTATACAGAACATTTGATCCAAAAATTAAAGAATATACATTCTTTTCAAATGCACATGGAACATTCTCCAGGACAGATCACACATTCAGCTCCATAGCAAGTCTCAATAAATTTAAGAAGATTGACATAATACCAAGCATCTTTTCTGACTACAGTGGTATGAAACTGGAAAGTAACTACAGGAATAAAACTGGAAAAGCCACAAATATGTGGAGATTAAACAAAATGCTACTGAACAACTATTGTGTCAATGAAGAAATCAAAGGAGAAATAAAAAAAAATCCCTGGAGACCAATGAAAATGAAAATATGACATGCCAAAATTTATGGGATACAGCAAAAGCAGCTCTAAGAGGGAAGTTTATAGCAATAGAGGCCTACCTCAACAAACAAGAAAAATCTCAAATAAATAATCTAACAGTGCACCTAAAGGAACTGGAAAAAGAAGAATAAACAAAGCCCAAAATCAGTAGAAGGAAGGCGATAATAAAAATTAGAACACAGGGCTGGCCCTTTGGCCAAGTGGTTAAGTTCATGTGCTCTGCTTTGGCAGCCCAGGGTTTCACCAGTTCAGATCCTGGGTGTGGACCTAGCACCACTCATCAAACCATGCAGAGCCAGCATCCCACATAGCAGAACTAGAAGGACCTACAACTAGAACATACAGATACGTACTGGTGCTCTGGGGACAAGAAGGGGAAAAAAAAAAGATTGGCAGCAGATGTTAGCTCAGATCCAGTCTTCAAAAAAAAAAAAAAAAAAAAGCAAGAAAAAGAAATAAAAGGGATCCAAAATGGAAAAGAAGTGAAACTGTCACTATTTGTAGATGACAAGACTTTATATATATATAAAAAACCCTAGGGATTCCACCAAAAAACTATTAGAAATAATTAATGAGTATAGTAAAGTTGCAGGATAC